CTTCACTGTGATGAAACTAAACTCCTTCAACAATTGGTCTTCCAAGCCTGGAGCATTGTCCAATTACCAGGAGGCACTTCAGTGGCAATTGATTTTTTAGGAGGTATTTCTTCACACTTGGGCCAAACACTTCATTGACCCACTCAATGAAAATTTGCCTCGTGACCCATGCCTTTTTTGTTAGCCTTCCACATCATACACATTTTACTCTTGATGACATTGTTTTTCTTGAACACCCGGGGATTTTCAGAGTGATACACCAGTAAAGGATTCACTTTGAAATCCCCACTAGCGTTACCACAGAACAAAAGAGTTAGCCTATCCTTCATAGGCTTGTGTCCTGGCAGTGCCTTTTCCTCCCGCATGTTGTAGGTTCTCTTTGGCATTTTCTTCCAAAAGAGGCCTGTTTCGTCACAATTGAAGACTTGTTGTGGGAGGAATCCTTCAGCCTCTACGTACTCCTTGAATTCATCAACGAATTCTTTGGCCCCACGTTTGTCCGAACTTGCAGCCTCGCCATGCCTTACCACACAGTGTATGTTAGCTCGCTTAAATTTGTCGAACCAGCCTCTGCTGGCCTTAAATTCACTAACAGCAGCACTGGTTCCAGGCATTTTGTCTGCGAGATATGTGTGCAACAGCTTTGCCTTTTCGCAAATTATTGCCTACGAAACATTATCTCCCGCTTAAAGTTTTTCGTTGATCCACACCAACATCTTTGATTGTTTGCATTCTCTGTTTCGTTAACACATTTACCCCTTTCACAACAACAGCTTCCTTGATTTCTTTTTTTTTTTCGCCAGGATGGAACTGATCGTTGATGCGGACTTCCCGTACATCCTGGTGAGATTGGCCACGCATACGCCACTTTTGTACTTTGCTACAAGTTCTTTCTTGAATTCTACAGTGTTTCTCACCTTTATCGGAGCTTTCTTTGGCCCCATGGTGGTTTATTTGGCAGTCACAAGCACAAAAAACACTGGCAGACTGAGTCTCAAACACATGGGATGCTTTGTGTGGGCACCCGATTCTGGGAAATGAGTGGCTGAGTCACGCAGGTAGGTGGACGAAAACCGAGCGGATGTACAAAACTGTGACAAAACATCAACGAAAAAAGTTGTTGTAACCGAATCGTATGAAAAGTAGGGCATACGAAAACTGAGGTTCCACTGTACACATTTTCTTTGATCAATGTGGGAGCATCACAGTTCAGACAGTCTAAGCAACACATAGTCAAGAATCTTTATTGTCATTATGTATAGCACAACGATTTTTTTTCCGGCAGCTCTCGGCTTAAAAGACACACACATTATTTACATAACACACAATTGTATAAGTCAATATAAAACAATGAGCAAATAAAAAGGGAATGTTTGGGACCTAATCAGGTCAGTGGCATGTTAGTGGCAAAAACACATTATTTACATTACACAAAATTGTATGTGTTATGTTTGCTCGTACACAGGAGAGTGAGTGAACAAAAGAAAGGCGGACCCAGATAGTGGACTTCAGTGCAAGCAGGGATTTATTATAAACAGTGCAGTGAATGGTAAAATAAGGCAGGTGGAGATGAACTGGATAACTGGGTGTCGATCAGCAGCAGATAGCAGTACAATGATGAGATGGATAGAGTGGGCCGAGCTGCGGCACTGGGGGTCACTCCGGAGCTGGTCAGTGGAATACGAAGGTTACTGAGGAGACAGAAAGCAGGGTATTGTACATATGGCAACTGTGCATCGACATGACCGGGGCAGACTGGAAGGGTTGAGTGGAGCCAAGGTCCGGAGGTAGTAGTCCGTGGAGGAAGAAAAACAGCATGGGAGGAGAGCGGCAGCAGGGAGTCCAAATATATAAAAATGACAACAAAAGGAGAAGGTAAAACACAACTGCAGCAGTGAGGGCCTGAGAAAACTAGAATGAACTGGCAAGGGAGTGATGGGTGAGCAGGGTATAAGTAAGGGCAGAACTAATAAGGTGCAGCTGGTGATAATCAATTGATGTGGAGTAGGTGTGCCAGGTGGTGTAATCAGGGGCTAAAAAAGAGAACAAAGTGAGGGAGGTGAGAGAGGCAGGTGCAGCTGGGCAAACCTGACAAAATCCTACTTTTACATCAGTGCACGAGTCATAGAATATTAATGTAATATTATAATATACTGTATAGTATAACATTTTTCTGTATTGAGTAGCCTACTAATAATTTAAGTACATTTTATGTTAGCAGCAAAAGAGTGTATCAAATCAAATCAAATTTTATTTGTATAGCGCCAAATCACAACAAAAGTCATCTCAGGACACTTTACAAAGTAAGGTCTAGACCTTACTGTTAT